ACGATTTTTGAAATTTGAGGCCCACCTTAACTTTCTAGAATTACACTTTATACCTCAATTTGAGAATTGTACTTTAACCTAAAAATTATATTCTTTTTTTGCTTTACATGGCCCTCCAAGTTTTCCTTATATGGTGATCTAGATTTTGTTTTACCCCTCAACAATTCATTTAAACATATTGCACCATAAAGTATTTTAAATAATCTCGCAAACTACAAAATTTGAGAAAAAAATTAAAATTTAACAATTGGTGCAAAAAGTTGGCAATTTGAATAACTAACGGTGCAACAACTTCAATTTAATAATCAAAGGGATAAAATCCAATCAGGGTACTAATTTAAGAGGACAAAGTATTATTTTTCCAAACTTGATATATAGGACCCAATAGTTGTATACAATATGTATCTAAGATATATGCACACACTTTATCTCATTTTATCCCGAATCTCACACATCGTAGCAGTATAATAAAATTTAGTTGTACCAAGTGATTATATAATGAAATGAAACTAAATTTTTTTAATTTTATGGATGAAACTATACTCATCTTGCATGTAATTGATTTGAAAATTTTAAATTAATTTTTTTTATTTTATGAAATTTAAATAATATTATAATTTGTGAAAGTTATTTTCATAAGCTTTAAATAATAAAATGTTTGATAATAACAATTGGTCACCGAATGAATTCATTGAATAAAAATTTCTAACTACATTACTATTCAACCTCCTCTCTAAATAAAATTCTAATTCCGTCCGTGTTTGGATGCAAACATTCTGAAGCAAATCCTCCTGGATAGCACCTTCAGGTCCTTCACCAAGCACAATGCATGCCGTCCTTGGTGCGCTCATTTTTGTGCCCTCATTATCTGCCTGGTTGACCCCCTTGGAAACATAGACAGCCATTTCAACTCTTTTTACCTTTCACTCAACAATCTCCATTCGATTCTCCAAAGCGACGTTTATGGACTATAAGGAGGCTTTAATTTGGGGGGTAACTTTATCGTTGTCGCTACCCAGGGGCGACACATCTGCTTGCTACTCTTGGTGCCTCCACCAAACTAGGACACATTATTGTACTAATCGAGTAAATATTCAATGCAATAATAATAATAATATTACGTCGTTATTGGTATGTGGTATGGTCAAGTGTAATCTGTCCAAAATATTAGTCTAGATTTGTTTAATCGCAAATGATTTAAATCGGATTTAAATTATAATCTATTGGATAAACAAGTTTATAGTGTATACGGTATATAAAAAATACCAAAATTATTGACTTGTTAATTAAATACTATTTCTTTTGCTTCTATATAGATGGTTTTCCTTTGCTTATGGCAGCATCTGCATCATTTTAAATTCTTGGGTTAATAGTACTTTTATTCTTTAACGTAAGACCATTTTGTCGGTTTAGTCTTTGTTTTATTAATTTTGTTAATTGAGTCCCTAAAATTTTAATTCGTGTCACTTTGGTCTTTAATCAGATAATTCGTCAAATTTTTTTAAGAAAATGACCACATGTCATTTTTTCATACGATATTACGTATCTAACATGTAATCATTTTATAAAAAATTTAACAGTCCGTTCATGTAAAGATCATTTAAATACGAATTGAATATTTTAGTAACCAAATTGACAATATATATATATATATATTTTAAGGTTCAAAAGTACTATTAACCTTAAATTCTTTATTTTGTGTTTGGATGCAAAGTGTTCTCAACACAATACTAAATCTTAGTTAGACGTCCGTTTCTTTTTTTTTCAGACGTCCATTTCTTTAGCTTCTAAAGAGATGGTTAGCTTCCTACGTACTTTAGGCATTACTTCTCTCCAAACTATTTCACCTTATAATACGAAAACAACCAGTCTCATGTATAGTTCAAATATTATATTATTGTATTCATTATTATAATTGTTCTTGGTTTGAAATTTATGCAAAGAACTGTCATTTTGTCCTAACTTCTTCCACATGCAACTTTCAGCTATTGGTCTCCTCTTCTTTTTCTTACTCTTGCTTTTTCTTAAATCTAGGTGTCACCCACTGAATTCAAATAGGTCTTATACTAATACACATGCAATGAATAATTTAGTATTTAATATTAAAATACATCTGATTTTAATTTATTTTTTTATGCAGTTCTTGCCATGGGAACACACATCTCTCTCTCTCTCTAATAAGTGTTCTTATTTCCAACCTAAAAATTATGCATATCTCTCAGTTATTCAACTACACAAGCTCGTAGAAATATAAACTTAGTTTGTGTAGCTTGTTAAAACAGTACAATGATGACCTAACTGGACAAGTAAGCCTGGCTGTGTGAAGGCTACTATACCAAGTCCTGTATTTCTCTTTATGGCGAGTAAACTCTTCAAGGTAAGTTCACATTCAAGGTATCACCCGTAAACAATAGGTTTTGGTTAAACTCTCGTCCTTGTGAATCATATGCAAAATTTATTAATTTAAATTTTTCCGTAAACTAACCCCACATCATTACTAGCTGTGTGAATTAAATCTTTTACTTTCGTCTCTCCATTGGCAATATATTCCTACTTTGCCAAGAAAATAATCAACATCTCAATGTCCACGCAAGAGACAGAAGTCAACATCTCTTGATTTTTGTAAATCTTGTAACCATAGTTCGAAGAACCCCAAACGCAAGCAAGGATTCATATTGCTACACTTGCCAGTCATTGCCAGTTAGGCGGCAACCCTATTCAACTACAAAAATATGCATAATTGAGTGCTGGCTAGTGTCAAATCCCATCACCTATCACATGTCAGCCATTATGAATTGACATGTTGGTGGACTGTACCTTAGCACGTGCACGGAAAAAAAAAAGAGAAAAAGATCTAGTATAATAACTTACAAGCAATCTGTGATGGATTATTTGCATTTTGAAACAATGGATATGTAATTATTTTTCGTTTGAAATTATACAATCACCGTACCTTCTTTATCGTGATCTGATCCACACCTAAGACCCAAAATCAAGCATCGGAGCACACTCATAACAACGTCAAAAAAAAAAAAAAATGGTAGAAGTTCATATTCTTTAGGTTTGACTATAACCCAAATAGTAAAGATGAAAAAAAAGCACAAGCTACTTCGTCCGTACTCCTATCCTTTCCTCTACCAAACTCAAAAGAGCAACAATACATCGGATCAGAGTGTGGTGGAGTAGAGAGCGCAATGGTAACAAAGCGGAGAAACAACTACTCCCATAAAAGTAAATAGAAGTCTATTGAATCACATAAATCTTTATGTGTTTTGTTCTAGAATTTTTTTTTTGTTGTTTAATTATTCACTACACTGCACATTTATAACTATTTTAAATAGTTAAATCCCAAAAACTAACTCATAATTTATGACTCACACAGATTGAACACTAAACATCGGTCCAATATTCTAATCTTCCGTGGAAAATAAATACTAAATTTTCACCTTTTTGAATTTTATTAAGAACAATTGAATCAAAAGCTAGGGGTAAAATGTACTCTAAGATGTACATGTATTCCAACAAATATTACCGGATGTCGGCCGGCATGAAATATTAACCGTGAAGTAAGCTTTCTCTCATCTCAACTTAAAGGAAGTCGCTTGCTGGAATTTTAAATAGCACTTTCTGTAGAGGCACACATGTACTTGCCACAGATTTTTCATATCAATTACACTTTAATTTAATTTAATAATAAATTATTCACCGTGAATGAGTAAAGAATTCACTAATAAATATCAAGTCTAATTTGAATCAATAGTAGTTCATTTGATCTACTATTGAGTTAAAGTATAAGAGTAATGTTATATTGATCAAAAAATAAGATAAAAAATATGGACTAAATGGTATGACACTGAAATAATAATATTTTGAGCAATGCTATTGAGAACTAATTTAATGACTTAATTTATTATGATCTTTGAATTAACTGTAGACTCAATCGAACTTTGAAACTTGGTGATGATCTAATAGTTTCAATGAAGTCACATCATTAAATCAGATTTTTAGATCCAAATATCATTAATCTACTTTTTGTCCCACTTTTACTTCTTTAAGACTTAATATTTACTTAAATAGTAATGCTACCGTGGCCAAATTTTGTGACTAAATTTAGAGCTCAAATGACATAGTAACATAGTATTTGGAGTTTTTATTAAAACACAAATGACATGACATAAAATAAAGAAGCCCAAGTTAGCTGTCATATCCTTTGAACTCTAAATTTAGTCCCAAAATTTGATCAATATATCATTTTTTTTACTTAAAATGCTAGCTACTACATCATTTTGACTCTAGTTTTGGTCCTTTTTTTTTTGTTGGTCAGTATATGACTATTAAAAGTATAATGGGAAGAATCTCGTCACTAATGTATTGGGATTGTTTCGTTTTCTTACTTTTGGTACTATACGTCTCTTTTTGGTCCAAGCGTAGTATGACACCGAAACCATATATTGATTTATGAGCAATGTTATTGAAATTTAATTTATTAATTTAATTTATTATATTTTTTGAATTGATTGTGAACCCTATTAAATATTAAAACTTGGTATTGATCCAATAATCTTATTAAAATTATATTATTACGTCAACAAATTAAATAATTTTTAAGGTTCAACTAACATTACTCTTTTTTTATTATTTCACCTTATTCTATTATTTTTATATCAATAATTATAAATAACTAATCTAAAATTAAATTTATTCTTTAATAAGATACGAAAAATAAACTTTCGAAGTATGAAACTTGAAAGCATTATATATTGAATACATCGGTTTCCCGGTTGGTAAGCCAAGCACCAATATAGAGGTCACAAATATCACCTAGTTTGTTAACCTAAATTAAAATCAAGATTGACAAAGGGGCAGAACCCAAATTTACCATTTTGCCCTTCAATACCGTGCACTGTTTGATTGAAATCTTTGTATGCATAAGTGGGATACAACCACCCTCATTTACTCTATATATATCACACTTTGGTCTCCCACTCCTTCCCTCCACAATGACCAACATTTCTTGCAATTTTTCTATCTTGTCTTCAACCGTTTCAAGTACTGAAACCATGCCGGAGGCTCAAAACAACTATCTGGATGATCTTCAGAGCGATTTTATCGACGATTATAGTGTTCATGATAAGAACAAGAAGGCACTTCAATTCATTGAAGATGTTACTAATAATGCAGAAGAGGTTCAGAAGCAGGTGCTCAATGAAATATTATCGCGTAACGCCAACGTTGAGTACTTGACTAGGCATGGACTTAACGGGCATAGAGACCACGAAACCTTCAAGAAGGTGATGCCTGTTGTCACATATGAGGATTTACAGCCAGCTATTGATCGTATTGCCAATGGTGATACTTCACCTATTCTTTGTTCTCAACCCATTTCAGAGTTTCTGACAAGGTAAGTTCTTGACAATTCATGAATATAATTCTCTATGATATTTATGTGAGAGGGTTCCACCTAGTATTAATTTCTGGTTGTGAGAGTAAATTGTATATCTTCTGCAGAGTGCAGACTAAGAATAGTATGTGTTATAAGCAATTCTCTTGACAACATGCTAAGTGTAGCCTTAAGGTGGGTTTGGAATCTTATTTTTTGGGAAAAAACATGTGCTGTTCGTAAAGTAGATGAATTAAGTTAATAGATTCTATTTTGATCTGTAGCTCTGGAACATCTGGAGGAGAGAGAAAGCTGATGCCAACAATTGAAGAGGAGCTTGGGAGGAGATCACTGCTTTATAGTCTTCTGATGCCTGTGATGAACCAGTTTGTTCCTGGTTTGGACAAGGGCAAAGGAATGTACTTTTTATTCATAAAGTCAGAAGCTAAGACACCAGGAGGTCTTTTATCTCGTCCAGTTCTAACTAGTTACTACAAAAGCTCATATTTTAGGCAGAGGCCTTATGATCCTTACACCAACTATACAAGCCCGAACGAAACAATTCTATGCCCAGATTCTTACCAGAGCATGTACTCTCAAATGCTATGTGGGCTTTGTCAAAGCAGCGAAGTTCTTAGAGTTGGAGCCGTCTTTGCTTCTGGTTTCATTCGGGCCATCCGATTCCTTGAAAAACACTGGCCTCTTCTTTGCAATGACATTCGAGATGGCACAATAGACTCCCAAATCAGTGACTCCGTGGTGAGAGAGGCTGTCATGAAAATTCTTAAACCAAATCCAAAGCTTGCAGATTTCATCGAGGCCGAATGTAGCAGGGGATCATGGAAAGGGATCATCACTAGGTTATGGCCCAACGCCAAGTATATCGATGTAATTGTGACAGGAACAATGTCACAATATATTCCAACTATTGACTATTATAGCGGTGGCCTCCCTCTAGTTTGCACAATGTATGCTTCTTCTGAATGTTACTTTGGTGTTAACCTTAGTCCTCTATGTAAGCCAAGTGAAGTCTCTTACACCCTTATTCCCACCATGGCATATTTTGAGTTTTTACCCTTGAATCAGAAAGATGGAGGCACTGATTCCCACTCTGAAACAACACCAGAAAATCCAAAAGAGCACCACAAATTAGTGGATCTCACAGATGTTAAACTTGGACAAGAATATGAGCTTGTGGTCACCACTTATGCAGGTATAAGATTCAATATGATGCCTAAAAATCAGAGAGAGAGGTTGTTACTGTGACTCATTATGATAAAATTTCTATTTGTGATGATCTTATGATGATATTGAAATTGCAGGACTTTATCGCTACCGGGTTGGGGACATACTAAGAGTAGCTGGATTCAAGAACAAGGCGCCCCAGTTCAATTTTGTATGTCGAAAGAATGTTCTTCTGAGCATCGATTCCGATAAAACGGATGAAGTTGAGCTGCACAATGCCGTGACTAATGCATCTAAGAATCTCTTGCCATTTGATGCAAATCTCATAGAATATACAAGCTACGCAGACACATCCACCATCCCAGGCCACTATGTCTTATACTGGGAAATTGGCTTCAGTAATGGCGCTGTTACTACAATTCCCCCATCAGTCTTTGAGGATTGCTGCCTTACCATGGAGGAATCATTGAACAGTGTCTACCGACAAGGTCGTGTGTCTGATAAGTCGATAGGCCCCTTGGAGATTAAGTTGGTAGAGAGTGAGACATTTGATAAGCTCATGGACTATGCACTCAACAATGGTGCATCAATAAACCAGTACAAGGCACCAAGATGCGTGAAATTTGCCCCCGTTGTTGAGCTTTTGAACTCGAAAGTTGTTTCGAGTTACTTCAGTCCCAAATGTCCTAAATGGGTTCCTGGTCACAAGCAGTGGAGTTCCAGCAACTGAAGAAATAGAGGGCCTTCGAGAGTAGTTTAGGCTTTTTTTTTTTAACTGAAGAAAGAATTAGAAGAGTGAACAAGAACTGTTCTTTTATCAGTTTGGAGAGTAGATTAGGCTTTTTTAACTTTTGCCCATCATTATCCTTCTTTGATTGTTGTTTAGTATGTACAAAAACAGCTCTGGTTTAATTCATTTTATCTCCTATTAGTGATGGGATTTGCAGTTCTCATTATTTGCTAGCTATTTTAAAGGCCACCAGTTATTTTATGATGAAAAAATGTTGACTAAAAACTATACTCTTCCCTTTACATCACGGATTTTTTGACAGAAATTTCCATATAGGATGATATGATTATAGTACTTTATAAATATCATGATAGAAAATTGTGCCCAACACAGTTCATTTCAGGTTTCCAGTGAATGATAAAGGCAAAAATGGGTCATAACTTGCCCTGCTTATTGTTTAAACCATGCTAATTAGCCTCGGTAAACATCACAAGAGATTACAATTAAAAAAAAAAGCACATACTGACATACACACAACAGAACATCCTGAATATCATCGTCCAGCCAAAAATCCATTTACAGAAAAAAAAATGACCAAAAAATGTTGCATTAGCATGTGGTCTACCGGTGGATTTGTTAGACAAATTGCATGGACAGAATAGAAATTAATTTAGGAAATGTGGAGAGAAATGAGCTGTGATATAATTAGGATTGCTACAAGTCGAAGCAAGTCAACTTTCATACCATCAAAACATCAACTAATTAGCTAAGTTGGCTGGCTCCAAGAATCAGTGAAATGAAATATTAACATTAGAAGAAGCTCGTGGGAACCCCATCATTTTTGACTTAATTTTTTCCTGCCTCGGAGAATCTCTAAAATTGCTATGTACTGAACATAGAATCATTTCCTGCAGCACCCTTCCATGCTTGAGCAAAAACTTTGCCAGACTAATATGAGTTTCGCATTCGGAGAACCCGTGTATCTTTACCAACTTTAGGTGATGAAGGAAGGGCTTCAAGGCTTGGCTTTCAGATCCCCAGCACTGTTCTTCGCCTGAGCTAGAGACATCCCATGAGTCCGTGTTCCGTTGCTAGAATTGGATGAAATTAGATTGTACTTCACATATGCACATCAGAGAAAATGAAATATGAAAAGAATAAGCATTTGGGGTGTCATCTTTAACACTTACTCTCCTTTCAGTCTTGGAAACACTAAAAAATTTGATGATGAGTGTATGGAGAGTAGGAAAGTTCCCCAACAAGCTTGCGAATCGTAGGATGTTGTTATATTTGTTGAAACCAGTTCTCACTTCCAATGACTTGAGATTATCAAAGGGAGGAAGAACACCACCATTAAGATCATTATTCTTGGACAGAAGCTGCAGCCAATGTTATAGGTGTATTAACACAAGTATCACTAAGGCTTCATCATATTTTCCATTGGCGGCCCTATTGGGATTTCATGCATCTCATTCACCATCATTTTTTTTGTCAATCGCCTACGTTCCTAAATGAGATTCTGTTGAAAAATAAATTTATTTAGTGATTTATTATTAAGGTATGTTAATTTGGTGTGTAGTATGGGCAAAAAAATATGCAAGTAGTGAAAGACAAGAGTATTAGTAGGTGTTAATTTTTTAAGTAATGGTGTCTTAATATTATAGAGGTTACAAGAGTTAGTGAGTATAATGATACCCACATATAATAGTATGAGTTGTATGTATAGCCTATATAAATACGGTATATAGTCTAGTATTAAGAATAAGTAGAGTTGAGTAAAAATTGAAGAGTCCAAATTGAGTGTATGATTGTAATAAACTTGTATGAAAATTATTTTTTCTTTGAGTGTTCATATCCTCTTCTACTTCCTTCTATTTTATTTCTAATCCTTTTGACTCTAACAAGATAGTATCAGAGCGATCTTGTTGTAGTAATATTAGAGTAATTCCAACAAATTGGTATCAGAGTCAGCACCGATCCTGGAAGACAATTCTTATTCAGAGCCAACTTTCAATCTTGGAAGTTAGATAGCTCTACATCAAAACCAAGTTGATGACCTTGAAAATTTAGAGAGCTCACTTTAGAGTTACTACGATCTTTAACGTCTTGATAGATCGTCGCGATTGATAATCATGGAAGATTCACCAAATATGTATTTTTGGTGTGAAAAGCTGATGTTTTCTAATTATAAAAGAATGAAGATTACTCTACCTTCTCATCTCAAAGCATGTGATTGACGAAAAACTAAGGAGTCGTTTGGCTTGCCTAGAAGAATCCAAGAAAAGAAAGAGGAATAGACACTTGAGTTCTTAAGAAGGCGATTCATACTAAGATTTGGAAACTGATAGGAGATTCAAGTTCTCCAAATCATGTTTGGAAAATGATTGAGAGTGTAATGTCCAAACATGAAGATGAATTTTTATCCGAGGAGTATTGGGCACAATGCATTGAAGAAGATGGGTATGTAAAAGAAGAGTGTGATTTTAAAGACACATTAATGGAGGATCAAGAAGAACATCTTTTTTATGAAGTAAAAGAAGTTCAAAAAGTTAAAGTTGAAGTTCAAGAGATTACAGAGGATGACGAAAGCGATGATGTAGAAGAAGCACCCAAGAAATGGAGTAAAAAAAAATTGTAAAGCATGGAGAAGAAATTAATGATCCTTATGTGATTAAGGATGTTAAAGTGGGATCTTATGTAGTAGTGACCATGGAAAATATTTTTGCAATCAAGCATGAAAGTTAACGTCATCTTGCTGAAAACCATGTCCAAGGTAATGTATTTCTTGAAAATTTCACTAATTGTTACTTACAACTTGGTGTAGTTGTTCTAAGTGATATGGGTTGGGTAAATATGGAGAAATTTTTCGGTTCAAAAGAGCTACCCTTTGGAAAATTCAAGAAATATAAGAAGTTCAAAAAGAATGAATGCAAATGCAAAAATTCGAAAAAGACAATGAATAATTTGAAGATAATGTATGACCATGTGCCAATTGATCATAAGCTCTGCACTGCCATGGAGATGACTTTGAAGATTCTTGCAATTGAAAGAGGTGGTATTCAATTCATGAAGTTTGCAATAATTCCACAAAGCTCCTCTACTATGAAGTGATTTGCAAAATAAGAACTTGGAAGTACAAAACCAAGTTTAAAGGGGGGTGTTGGAAAATAAACTTGTTTAGTGTTTTATTATTAAGGTATGTTAATTTGGTGTGTAGTAATGAACAAAAACAGTGCAAGTAATGGAAGACAAGAGTATTAGTGTCCTAATTAATGATGTCTTAATATTATAGATGTTACAAGAGTTAGAAGGCGTAATAGTACCTGCATATAATGGTTTGAGTTGTATGTATAACCTATATAAATATGGTATTTAGTCTAGTGTTAAAAATAAATAGAGTTGAGTAAAAATTGAATAGTTCAAGTTGAGTATGTGATTGTAACTAACTTGTATGAAAATTATTTTTTCTTTTAGTGTTCATATCCTCATATGCTTCTTTTCATTTTATTTCTAGTCCTTCAGACTCCAACAAGGTAGTATTAGAGCGATTTTCATGTTATAATAATATTGGAGTAATTCCAATAGATTCTTTGTTTTGAATCTGATCTGACAATTAGTGCGTGGGTAGTCATTGTTAATTGCTACAGCTAACAATCTGCTTAAAGCTAGGGCAGAATTGTATAACATCATACTCCCCTCGTGTGTGGCCTCTCTTTTGTTTGAGCTCAATACGCGATCCTTATATTTTTTTTCCACCCTTTTGAGAGTACAATTAGTCTTAGTAACCTCCTATTGTTTTGAGTTTATATGTAAGTAATACTATTCCTGCTTTGAAATTTAACCTAAGTTGTTAACTTAAACATGTGACCGCTGACTTGATCCAATGGCATTAATTGTGTAATTGTAATTGATTGACATTTTCACTGAGATCATATCATTCGATACATCTTATTTAACTAAGATTAGTGTTATCATTTATTTAACTAAGATTAGTGTTATCATTTATTTAACTAATTTAACCTTTTCAATCCATTCTTGTATGACTAAAATCATGCAACATTCAGAAAATCCTAAGAAGCCATTCGTTCTGCAGTATAGATCCATAAATCTAAACACAAATATGGCAAAATTACTCTATACAACATTTACAGCCCAAAGCAATAAGTGAGTCACTAAATTGCACAAAGAATGCACATATATGAAGAAATTGAGGAGGAAAGTACCTCAACACATTGGCTTTCAAGTAGTATAAGTCTTTGGGCATGAGAGAGGCCAGATAGAAAATTGGATAAGCTCCAAACCTTTTCTGCACTCATCATATCCTCACGAAGCACAAAGAAACCAAAAGAGGCCTCATGCAGCGAAGTCAAATTCTCCAGAATGTAGTTATCAGTAATTGCATTGTATGCCCAAAATATTATTTTCAGTCTTGGAGCTTCGATCTTTACAAAACTAGTGCTACTATGTGCATCAAAGCAACTTGATACTCTCAGTATCTCCATCTTTGGACCAGAAATCTCCAAATTTTCTAACTGAAAACAATTCTCTAGGGTAAAATATTCGAGGGCTCGACAACTAACACTGAGATGTTTCAACCCGAAACACGTATCTAAATTCAACTTCTTGAGGAGAGGGAAAGATGAATCTGTAAAAAAATCACCAAGAGACGGTCGTTCATACAATATAACGAATGAAAGTGACAATGTATGGAGTGATCGAAAACCGCCTTCCATTGTGGATGAAGGGGGCAATCTAAAGCCAGGATAACGAGACTTCAACTTGAAAACCCTTAATGAATTACTGCTAATAACGCTTCGAGGGAAATTGAAGTAATCCTCCATGGCAACTTCAATGTCTAGTTCTTGAACATTATGCCTTATTGCACGACGGATCAAGCCATTTAGTCGAGAGAAACTCAATTGAGCACGAAAACGAAGGATTCTTATGTCGCAGAGCTTGCCACGGAGAGATAAAACTTGGGTGATAAAGTCCATGATCATAACTTTAGCTATGTGAGAATGCATTTTTTTGTGGGAGGTTAAGTAGTTCATAGTTTTGGAAGCATTATTGGAATGTGGGGTGGTTGTTGTGAAGTCAAGATCAGGAAAGGAGAGCCAGAGATCTCTCCATCGTTTTGATAAGATGCCAGTTTGTGCAATAGATCTGATGGGAAGAAAGAAGAGAATGTGATGAAGAACAGCGTCTGGAAGATCACTGATCCGGTCTTCCCCTGATTTGTCATCTTCCTTGTTAGCGTTCAGAAGCTTTTTCTTCTTAGCAGATCTTGTTTCCATTAATGTTTCTTCGTTTTTTGATCACTCTTGAGACTGTGTTTATGAGGTGAATATATTAGGGTTTGAAACTTTCAACCGGTGGACATGGAATAATACGCGAGAAGAGCGCTTGAGTTAGTTTCGATTCAAAGCTCAAACAAGAGTTTAAAAAGATGACCCCAAAAACAAGGAAAAATTATACTTTTAAGTTCCTCAAAATTTATCACTTAATCATTTAAACTCTTTTAAGTTTGAAATATTATACACATAATACTTAGACCCCTACCATTAATGACAGTTAATATATTCATTAATAAATTATACCTGAACCTTTAAAATTTATAGGCGTATAACACTAAAATCTCTCAAGTTTGAAATATTACATTTAGACCTTTTATTAATTATAAAACTAATGGAATCTATTAAATAACTAAATTACACTAATTAAAGATATAAGATATTGTATCTATTATAGTTTGACTTCTTGTTTGATTTTTTTGCTTTATTGCAATAGATAATATAATTGTATACAAATGAGTGTTGAGTTGATTTATTTGATATATCTATACTGATTACTATTTTTTCTCAAAAAATAACGATTTTGTTTGGTTTATATATCAATCTATAATATAAAACAAGACAAATTTCAATAAGCTCATCCGACGATTTCAAATAAACTCATTCAACATCCATCTTAAAACCATTTACATTGAATTTTCCCTGTCTCCAAAACCATAACTTCTTATTTATGTTGTACTGCCTTCAGGCCTCAGTTACCCCTAGTAGATGATATAATAGAACATACAAATGAGTTAATTAGACTTATTTCATATGTTTCGTACTTGATGATGAAAAAATTGATCCAATGTAAAAAGTTCATTTAGTCCAAGTCCAAATTGACGTAGAGGTCGTCCAAATTTTGACATCAACAATATTAATTATGATTTTTTAAGGAAAAAATTTAAATTTTATTTTTGATTTTGTTTCAATAAATGACATAATATAACATGAATTTTGGTTGTAAAATTTAAAGTATTTGATATTCTATCTTCAATTGGAATATATTTAGTATAAATATAATATTTTAAACTTAAAGAGTATAACTATTATACGTTTTAAATTTTAGGAGTCTAAATATAATATACTAATAAATATATTAACTGACATTTAATAGCAGGGTTGTACGCGCGTACAAATTTTAAAGGATTTATGTGTAATATTTTAAATATCAGGGGAATAGGTGATTAATAGATAAATCTAAAGGGGTCTAGGTGTAATTTTCCAAAAAAAAAAAAGGAAAATAGATATAAGACCAAAAAAAAAAGGAAAATAGATATAAGACCAAAAGAAAAATAAAAAAAAATGAAAGCTGGGTACTGTTTTTTTCCCTTATTGGCCAGGATTGTCTAGTCCCTTGGACGTGTCGAAAATACTCATTTTTCCACTTTACACCAGAGCTTTATACTGTTTGATATATTACGTGTCTTAATTAAAAGACAAAAAACCCTCCCTTAAACCCCCCTCCTTCCCTACGCCACGCCACCCATTCCCAGGTCCTCTACTATTGAGTGTCCTCCGTAAATCATTCTTTGTACATAAAATTTAAATATTATTTGATAAAATTTAATATTAATTAAATAAATTTACTCTTAATCTGATAATATTAAATATTAATTTAGTGTTAATTTGATAATGTTAATTGAAAAAATTTGAATGTTGTTTTGATAAAATTGAATGTTAATTTGGTATTAAATTAAAAAAAATGACATTAATTTGATAAGGTTAAATGTTAAATTATTATAATTTAATATTCTATTTAATATAATTAAATTTTAATTTAATAAAGTTGAATATCAATTTGGTGTTGATTTAATAAAATTAAACAGTAATTTAGTGTTACATTAAAGAAAATAATATTAATTTGATAAAATAAAATATTAAATTATTGTAACTGAATGTTAGTTTGATTATAAATTGAATATCAATTTTATATTGATTTGATGAGATCGAATGTTAATTTAGTATTAAATTAAAGAAATAATATTAATTTGATAAAATTAAATATTAAATTGATGAATCTGAAGTTTAAGATAATAGAACTAAAGGTTAATTTGGTATTAATTTCAAAAAAATCGATTTTAAATTAATAAAATTGAATATCTCTCGTTTTAAATCATCAGAACATTGGATAAAAATCCATTGACGACTTGTGATGGTTTTGGGGGATGTATACTGTGAATTCGGTAGGGAGGGGCTATGGGGTGTGTACAATGGTGTGGTGGTGCAATGGTGTGTTTAAAGGAAGACACATATGGGGTGAAGTGGTAGCAAAAAAAAAAAAAAAAGGGTAAAATTGATATTTTTGAAAAAAAATTAAAATGAGATCAATCTTTTTTTAATTGTCAATAACGGGTGGTCACAAAGGATATAGTTAAAGTGAATATATGAACTACAAGAGAGTGAAATAAAATTTTAAAATCCAGAGGGGAAGTTGTTTATGTGAAACTTATTTATTGGGAGTGTGGATGAAATTCACCCAAAATATAATTAGATCCACCGACATCCATCAACCTTGCTAGCTATAGAACATTGCTCACCTTGAATAGGAATAATTGATCTTATCTTTTGGAATTAATTATAAAATACTCCCTTGAACTTTAGATCTTGTTTCAACCAAGTCTCTCCGGTTTAAAATTGAACAATTTGCTCCCTAATATTTTAATAACTTTCAATTAACAGATTAAATAGACATAAATTATAAAATTACTTTTGTACCCTTAGTCTTTATTTATCTCAATTTTCGTTTTTTGCTAGAGCCAAACGCTCCAACACCACCAATCACAAACTATCGCACCCACCTAGCCACCGCTCAGCCATAAAAAACCAGCCACCACCCAACCACCTTGCCACAAACCACTAAAGAAGTCGACCGAAAATACACCACCACAACCAAATGGACCCATCTCTCTCTCTCTCTCTCTCTCTCCCTCTCCAGAGGGGTGATGCCCAGTAGAGGGTAGATTTCTTTTGTGGGTTGGAGCTGTGTGGGAGCTAATACTAGGGGTGGGTTCCGGTTTCACTGGTTGAAAGAAGGGAGGGTCGTTTGTTCGGGGTGGGTTGTATTTTGTTGGGGGGGGGGGGTTCGGTTTCACTGGAGGGGTAGGGAGTTGAAGGGGTTGAAGAAAGGGTGGGGTTTCACCGGAGGAGGGAAATTATTTCAATTGTTTGGGTGGGAGTGAGTTTCGGTTTCGATTTTAGTGGATGGGGAGAGAGTACGTTTCACCGGAGAGAATTGGGTTTCACCAAAGAATTGGGTTTCACCGGAGAGAGTTAGGTTTCACCTAAGAGAGTTGGGTTTCATCGGAGAGTTGGGTTGATTTTTTTTTTTTGATTTTTATTTTAACACAAAATATTAAGGTAAAGGTAGTTGTGAGTTTTTGATTAATTTAAGTCATTTTTATGGTAAGAGTTAATTGAAAATTATTGAAACATTAAAGGGACAAATTGTTCAATTTTAAACTAGAGGGACTTGATTGAAACAAGACCTAAAGTTTAAGGGGACATTTTGTAATTAACCTTATATTTTGTTTATTTTGATTAATCCTTCACCCGATAAATATGGATGATTTCATTTGTTCAATCACTAAAATCGAAAATACCATGACTTAGTAATCTAGATGTAGTCCTGTGAACATTTGGTCTAGGATATAAAGCCTAAATGCCACAACCATGGTACTGTGTTCTCTTGTTTGTTCTTCTATTTTTTCAGTATAAAATGCTATAATGGCCAACAAATATAGTCACATGCATCTTGCGTGATCACACTTGAGTGATAGTTTTTGTACCCCCGTAAGTTTCGATAAACAAGCAGTTTCCTTACAACAACTGAATTGAGTCAACTCATTATAGCAGTACTATTGAAGCTCCATTGCAACATCTGCTGATCACAACCTCTACATCACCTGCAAGGATTGAACTAATTCACAGATGTATAAACAGAATTAGTCATAAGACTAATAATAAGCACATATCACAAAAGTTAACCATAGCTGATTGAAACTAACAGAATCAAGTCTAGTGTTGTTCTTCAAACTGTGAATCAGTATCTTCATATCATCAGAGCCATAGCTGAGACAACCATCTACTTCAATGGCAGATTCATCTTCTTCAATACACTGGATGCTTATGTCGAGAAGATCAAAGAAACAAGTGACAAACTAGTTGCTGTATCAATTCTGGTTGATGATGAGGATATCAATTCTGCAAACAAACTTTCAATTTTGTTTGAAAAGTGCCGTAGATTGGTACTTAATTCACTTTTAGACACCAGCACTGGAACATTCCACCTCCTTGACGTGATTGAATCAGAACCCAGCCAGATAGCCTATGATTAATGTCCAAAACCATCCGCACTTCTCACCAGTAATCTCCACAAGAACACAATCCATCCTTGAAATGGTGAAACCTGTTTGCATCCCTGACACCTACAAACGAGGTTAGATATCAGCTTGGCACGGAGTGCCAGTTCACACATGCCCGTAGATATTTAGCTATCCTAAGTGTAGTTCCAGGGGAGTGCTGATAAGCCCATAAGCAATTGACAGTCTCTCACTATGGTTACAGAGAGTGTCCTCCTTGTCTTCATTATTCAAGTCATGTAGCACATAATCTGTATCTGGCAAAAATCCAGCCTCTTTCAACCACCTCTCCAATCTGTCAAGCTCCTTAAATATTTCCTTTGATCTTGGATGTGACTTGTCTCCCATTCGAAAAACTTGAAGCTTTCCATTAATGTCAATCATACTATAACCCAGGTCCCTACTCAGTCTTCTCTCCTTCATCAATATCCGTACCTTTGCCACACCATCCCACAAGCGAACTGAAGCATAGAGATTTGAGACTTGCAAATAATGTCTCGTATTCAATGGGTCTAATGAGAAAAGCCGCTCTGCTGCATATTCCCCAAATACTTTACGAGCTAGCTCAACACTTCCACATCTAGCATACATGTCAATGAGGGCCGTGTTGACAAAACATCATTACTACGGTTACTGTCACTGATATAGGTATCCATCCACCTCTCTTGTTCAAGTGAAGACCGCACCATGACATCATCTTGTCTGATATTTTTGGACGTCATCTTCCAAAAGAGCTCTACTGCTTCATTGGCATAACCATTTTTTGAATACCCCGAAATCATGGCATTCCACAAGATCACATTAGATACTTCCATTTGATCAAACAAAAAATTGGCAACCATTGGCTGCCCACATTTGGCATACATTGCTGTAAGGAAAATTCGCAAGTCCAGTTCAAGTTCGAGACCAATTTTGATCACAAAACCACGAACACATTTTCCTTGCTCCAAGTCCTCCACATCTGTATAAGCCCTAGGAATACTCATAAGCACAATCCAATCCAGTTCCACATCCAATTCTCTAAGTTGCTTAAAAAACGTCAAAGCTTCCATATGCTGCCCATTTTGGGCATACCCATATATAATCGCAGTCCACGAAACAATAGTTCTATATCATCCAAGCCATCAAACACCATCTGAGCTTTTTCAATCTGACCACATTTTGTATACAATGCCACAAGCCCATTTTGCACAAACATATCGGATTCAAACCCATGCCTAAATATGTGTCCATGCACCGCACGACCAATTTCAACAGCAGATGAGCCACTACATGAGGAAGAGTGAAGCAATCCGGACGCACACCCATTTCTTGCATTTTTGTAGACACCTCAATAGCACTAGCAAACATATTGTGCAGAGAGTATCCTCTGATAATGGCATTCCATATAGAAACATATGGGTCCGGACATTCATCAAACAATTCTCGTGCATGGTGAATTTCACCAAGAAACCATTAAATTGAAGTCCAGACACGTATAAGCGGGCATGAATTTCATGCAGATGGCTTTTATGGGTTGGTTTTTTGACAAGGAATGTGTAATATGAAACAGTATCGATGTGATTGTAGAGGTTGTTATCGTTGTAGAAGTAAGGGTCAAAATAGAGAGGTGATGTGGAACAAGGTTTGACAAACTTGAACGTGGAGGAGGGAAATTGAAATGAAGTTAACTGTGTGAAGTCCAATGGTCGGGTTTTTGCAGGAAGAGAGAAGAGACAGCTGGGTCATTAGAACACAAATTAACGACATTGGAAATACAGGTCAAATATATGCTGTACAACTTGCTCCAAAATGTTAACACAAACCAAGTTGCAGGAATGCTCAGTTTATGCTTTGGGATTACCAATTAATCAGACCTATGTATTTCAAATGTGGCTCATGCCAGCTACATTTAATCATCACGGATACATCATGATGCCTCTCGCCAAGAAGGAAAGCTAGAGAATATACCTTCTGAATTCGAACCAAAAATTCACTAATGATCAACTCAGATGCAAGCCTCCAAAGAGCAACTTGGCAATGTCGAGATTTCATTGATTCATTCAATATGAGACATGGGACCTAGAATTCCATATTTTTTGGAGCAACACAACAGAATTGTGAGGCATGAGGCAAGTTATGTGGCTCACAAGGGCGAAGGACCCTCTACTTGAAAACTATTGAACATTTCTGGCTGCAGAATGTGATTATTTTATCTGAAGTTTCACTACTTTGATTCATTTGATGTATTATATTCTACATTAGCTGGAATTAAATTTCTAATTTGATTTTGAAATTTAGTGAAATAATTCAACAAAAGATACTAATCAATGTATTTGTAATAAAGTCAATGATGTAATACCACAATTTCGATGAAAAACATATAAATATGAATGAAGCAACAAATTATATTCTTATAAATATCTATGACCAAAAGTCATATTATTAATCAAAAAATATATGTTATCAAATTTTGGATAAAAACATTTAATTAGAAATTTTGGATCCCAAATAAAAAAAATTATTATTAAAAAAATAAAATACCTCATTAATCTTTGCCGCTTTAGACCTTATATGTTCTTGAGCCGCCCCTAAATTAAAGAAGCAGAAAATCATCAACATCTTTTGGTTGAGGGAGAGAAATGATGGTCATGCCTCATACATTTCATCTTTTTCTTCACATGCTCATGTTACCATACTTATGTGCAGATGTATCGGTCTCAGAAGACAATATGTCGAATGGAATACAACTTCTTCTAATCATGTCGATCGATACTTTGAAGCACATTCTGTCTTGCAATTGCCACACACAGAGAGAGAGAGAGATGCATACAATATCATTTCTTTGTTAGAGTACATCAATGCATTCACATATAATGTCAAGTTTGAAATTCAACAACCCAAAGCATCAAGCCGATTAAAAATAACATAAAGAGCTTAGAATAACATACACTATGCAGTATGGATGCAACAACAAAATACATCAAACTGGAGAGTCCTCAAAGCAATTCAAGATATACACTTATGGTGCGCCTATAATAGTATTGATAAGAAGTGAAATGAGAGTTTCACTCACGTCGTGCTCTATGGCATTCTTCCTTGCAACATGTATCTTCTCATCACTTGCCTTCCTCTTCCTTTTTGATCTCTTCCTCTTCAGTCTCTTCCTTTATGATATCTTTGTCTTCCTCTTTCTCTTCCTTTTTGATCTCTTCCTCTTTGGTCTCTTCCATTTTGATATCTTCCTCTTCCTCCCCTTTCCTCCAATATCCTAGAGCCCTGACATCACAAGGGAATGATTGCAATGAGTTACAGTGACTGACCTCCAAGAAATTCAGTTCAGACATCGCACTCAGCACTGTTGCCCATTCGATCTTCAGTCTTGGCAAAAACTTCAAACATAACCCTTTTACTTTCCACCTGTTATCTTTGTTGCCCCAGAAGTCCGTGTGTGTGTCCTCCAGGACCCTCGAGTCTTCGATACAAAGATATTGCAGTTGTGGGAGTGAAATGGGGTTTATCCATTGTGGTGTATTGTTTCCAAAGTAATGCCCCAAATACAGCTCTTCAAGACATGTCGGAGGGGAAAGCTTCTCAAGCTTTTCTAGGATATTCTTGTCAACACAATCCCCAGCATTGATTGATAACACTCTAAGTTTTTGAAGTTGTGCTAAGGCTGTCACTTCCTTATCCAGAATTATGCTTTCTGCCTCTATCTCAATTCGCAGCACCCGAAGGTGTGATAGACCCCTAAGCTCATCAAGAGGACAACCTTCTGCATCCGTCTGACTGGCTATTTTAAAACCATACAGCTCTTGAAGATTGGAAAGTCTTGAAAGTCCCTGGGGCAAGCACTTGAGTAATGAACAATTCCCCACATCCAAAACCGTTAATTTTGGAAGAGTTGTTATCAATGCAGATAACTTGTTTAGCTTCTTGCATTCGCCAAGGATCAAAATCTGGAGGCCCCATAGCTTTTCAATCGAGTCTGGCAGTTCAACCAAATTTGCAACATTGCAAAGCTTTAAGTAAGCTAGGCGTTTCTGGAAAGTGATCCAATGCCATAGATCCCTCATAGTCGTATTTTTGTTCAGCTTAATATGCGAGAGGTCCAAAACCCTCAGAGACTTTACCATGGCCAACCCACTACTCCTATTTAAGTGAATCAAACAACTCTCCATACATAATAATGCTCTTATCTTTGAGTTTCCCTGAAGGAGATGGAGATTCATTTCACTTGTGGCACCTAACCGGCGAGTATCAATGGCGGGTATATGCTTATTACCTCTGTCAAAACTGCTGAATGTCTCTTCCCTTGCAATTTTAATCATCAAATCCCGAACCATGTCATGCATTTTGCAACTATAGATTCTTCCATCATAACTCCTTCGTTGAATAACTTCAACTAAGCATCTGCTGATCAATTCGGCCAGGTAACAGTCAGCCATATCTCTTGCAGTTTCTGTGTCTTCCTCGTAGACAAAGCCTTCCCCCACCCACCAGCGAACCAGCTGCTCAGTGCTTATTTCGTGGTCCTCTGGGTATATTGAGAAGCACAGTATACAATGCTTTAAATGAGTAGGAAGCTCATCATAGCTTAGCTGCAAAGAAGCCATAACAGAATTATTATTTTCCGTTGCTATTTTTGCACGAAAAGTTTTACAAATCCGATCCCACTCAGGAATTGAAGAATTCTTTGAGGATAGCGAACCTCCTATGGCCTTGATTGCTAACGGAAGGCCGCCGCACTTTGTCACAATCTCCTTTCCTATTTTTTCCAAGTTGGAGTTCGTACTTCCTTGTTTCTTTGACTTGAAGGCAACTTTACACAATAATGACCAACCCTCTTCTTCATCAAGAAGCTTTGGTTGATGAACTCGTGTTTCCATCACTCCCATGTCTTTCACGACATCCACAATCCTTGATGTGATTATGATGCAACCGCTGTGCTCCTCTGTACTTGGAAGTCCAATTGAGATTGTTTCCCACCAACCATTTTTGATATTCCATACATCATCCAAGACAATTAGATAAGTTTTATCCGAAAGCACCTGGCATATTTTGTGCGGCAAGTCACTGGTGGCTTGATCATCTGCTCTTAACTGTTTCAAGATACTCTTCAGTATTTCATACACATTGGCATTTTCAGATACGGGCACCCAAATTCTCTCTTGAAATCGAGCTTTTACCTCTTTATCATTAAAGATCTTTTGAGCAATGGTAGTTTTGCCCAAGCCCCCCATCCCCACAATACCAATGTAATGTAATTCCTTATTGCGAGGGAGAATCCACCCTTTTATTCTTTTAGCATCTTCTGTTAACCCAACTATTTCTGATTGTTTGAAAACTTGTGAACTCCTCCGCATTTCGCCCCTGCTGCCTTCACTGTTGAATCGTGCAGCTGCCTCAAGATATACCTTCAAAGTCGGTTGCATTTGCTCAAATTGCTTGCTAATATTGATCAACTTCTTTCCTGTTTGATAGCGGAAGAATAGTTCACGAGAAGATAGATGACAGCATGAAAAACTCCCTTTGCTCTTCGGATACTCTGCTCGAATTCGACAATCCATCACCAGGTCATCAGCTTCATAAATTAGTTCCCTTAGCTCATCCGAGGTTACCTCAAGTGTTTTCAACGTCCCTTTAAGCTTGTCTGTGTCAGTGAGGAAGGCCCGCATGATAGTAAGATCTTTTTTTATCTTCTTAAATCGAGTTTGAAATTGAAGAAGATCCTGACCAAGAATATGGACAGCACTAGGCAAATCTTTCACAAGGAGCGCAATCGCTGTCTCTGCTAATGCATCTTCTACCATTTTGCTTAAGAATTCAAACCAAAAACTACAAATTAGTCGATTAATAACGGGTTGGGTGCTTCAAATAACTAGTTTAGAATATAAATGCACAAAATTCTTAAGGCAATATTCCATTGCCGCATTCTTCCATTTTCTCATTTCTACATATGTATGGAATGTCGAATTTCAATAGATATTTCTAATACATTTTTACTAAAAAATGCCAAAAACACTCGTATAAGCCTTTGGTTCGACATATTGATAAACATCATATCACCTGCATAACATTAACGGCACTACTAGCTTAGACAAATAAACCAAGTGAATCCAAATTTCAAAAGGAATCTAAGAAGAAAGAAACTTATGGACTAATTTCTAACATTGCGTTATAGTATACAGTGAGGTTTCAAGCGGGAATGGAATGGATATTGAAGTGGAATGGATTGAAGAATTGACTCAAATGTAAATTATCTTTGCACTTTATCGCAACTACTAGTATTAAGTGCAGGTAGGGGTTTCCATCGGTCAGTTTACCCACGAGTCCTATTACCGGGCTCAAAAAAAATGAAAATTAAGGCCGAGTCCTCTTAAATGGACTTATAATGATTTGAGTTCCTCAATTAAACTTATTTGGTGATAAGTCTGTATTTTATCTTACTAATAAGTAATTAAGTCCACTATTTTTTTAAATCTCAAAAATATCCTCAAGTGTTATTGTGTTCAATAATAGAAATATTAAAGAGCTTGAAAATAGTTTTAAATTAATTTCTTAAATTAGAAATTATTATTCATTAATTTACTCCTAAATTTAAATTTTTATTTATATTCTCTCTCTCTCTCTCGTGCGCGAGCGCGTGCGTGTTAGAAATAAATCCTCTCATTCAATAACAAATGCAAACCGTAATGTAACATCTATTTTTTTCTTTACAGTAACATCAAATTTTTATGCACAGTAACACAACGACTTTAACAAAACTCAGGAGGATATATGTTGCATAGTAACATTAACAAGATAATTTTTTATATAGTAACATCAATGAAATATTTTTTTCCTTCACAGTAACAATAATTTTCGCTTATTTTTTACAAAATACGGTCCACAAATCGAAAAATTACATTATTTAGAGTAATAACATATAATCGTTAGTTGAATTAGGACACTCATCACCACTTGTGAATATTAAGACATCGAATATGTAAAAATAATTTTTCTTTTCCCTTATAGTAACATCAACTTTTTCCTACAAGTAACACAATCAAACATTTTTCAATTGTATTGCACAACAAAAGATCTAAAAAATTGAAACTCATATCATTTAATTTAGTAACAATGAATCGCATTTTGAGATTAGGAATGCAAGAAACAATGAAAATTTTCAAAACTTGGAGGCTTTTTCCTCTAGTTATGGGTTAAAATGCTACTAATTTTATTTTCAATTTTGTTCAATATTTCATATTGCTATTTTTTTTTTGTGAAGCATGTTATTATTTTTGTTAAGCATGTTACTGTTTTTGTTGAACATGTTACTATTTTTTTATGTTTAAATGTTACTATTTTTTATTTTCTTGTGTTTTAAATGGTATTATTTTTTGTGTTTAAATGATAATTTTTTTTTTTTTTGTATAGGAATGTTACAATTTTTTATTTTTAATGTTACTATATATATATATATATATATATATATATATATATATATATATATACAGAAAAATTAAACAAGTGAAATTTCTTAAACAAGAGATTAATCACCTCAGAACTAAAGAACACCTAACCAACTCAATCTTACAACAAAAGATTGATAGGTTTAGGGAAAAACTAGAATCAGAAGTTTGTTCCTCCCTTCCTACAGCATTCTGGCATAGGAAGAAACACATGGTTAGACTTTCTTATGTCAAAGGATTTAGGGAAGACAATATTCCTACTAAATCTAGACCAATCCAAATGAACCATGAAACTACTGAGATTTGTAAAAAAGAAATCACAGAGTTACTAAAAAATGGTATCATTAGGAATATCAAATCACCTTGATCTTGTCCTGCTTTCTATGTAGTCAAAAACGCAGAATTAGAAAGAGGAGTCCCAAGGTTAGTCATAAACTATAAACTTTTAAACAAAGTTTTAGAATGGATAAGGTACCCTATACCTAACAAACAAGATTTGATAAAAAGACTCAATAAGTCTACTATCTTTTCCAAATTTGACCTTAAAAGTGGTTTTTGGCAAATACAAATCCACCCTATGGATAGGTATAAAATCGCTTTTACCACTCCTTTCGGACATTATGAATGGAATGTCATGCCTTTTGGGTTAAAAAATGCCCCAAGTGAATTCCAGAACATAATGAATGAAGTCTTTAATTGTATCAGTCATTTTTCTATTGTCTATATAGATGATATACTTATCTTCTCCAAGACAATAGAAGAACATTGGAAGCACCTCTATGCTTTCAATACAATTATCCAACAAAATAGATTAGTATTATTTGCATCCAAGATTAAATTGTTCCAAACCTCAGTAAGATTTTTAGGATACAATACCCAGGATTCAACTATCACTCCTATTAGTAGAGCCATCCAGTTTGCAGATAAATTTCCAGATGAAATCTTAGACAAAACCCAATTACAAAGGTTTTTAGGTTCCCTAAATTATGTTTCTGACTTTTATCAAGATCTTAGGAAAACCATCAAACCTCTGTATGACAGGCTCAAAGGAAATCCTTCTCCTTGGACCACTGTTCATACTTCAAGAAGTTCATAAAAACTCTTCTCTGTCTTGGTATTCCGTCCGTTGATTCTTTTAAAATCATCCAGACTGATGCCTCTGATATTGGTTATGGTGGAATCCTCATTCAGAAAGAATCTCTTAATTCTCCTGAACAGATTGTTCGATTCCATTCTGGTATTTGGAATAAAACTCAAAAGAATTATTCCACTATTAAAAAAGAGATTTTATCTATTGTCCTGTGTATCTCTAAATTCCAGGGTAAAGTAAATTCACTTTCTTGCTTTCGGCTGAAAAGTGGAGTAAGATTCTTTTGCCCGGGTAACTAGGACATGCTGAAGGGACTAGTGGGTCCTGTCTATCTGTCCTGAGAATCCATCTTTCGGTGGAAAAACAGATTATGGGCCCTGCATTTGTCTATGAGAATCCTGCTTTTAGGGAAAGAGGATCCTGTGCAGACTTGTGATATTATTCTTACACAGAGTGGACAACTTTTCTTTCTTTTTTGAAAAAAGTAGTGATTGAAGCCACTTTATGTAAACCATAATTCACGGGAATGCAAGGTCAGGAGTGAGATCATCAACATCAAAGTCTTCTATTCCTTCATACGGATCCTGAGCATATCCTGAAGGAAGATCTGTTGTGAAAGATCCTTGGGAAGACGATGAGTCACTGTCTGAGTCAAGTTGATCCAAAAGCTTCTTGAGGAGTTTTGCTTTGGACTTCTTTTTGCTGGACTTCTTGCTGAAGCCTTTAGAACCTTTAGATAAAGATTCTTCTGGTCTGGTCTGTGCTATAGGAAGGCTAGCCTGGCTTGATTGAGCGGGCAATTCCTTTACTGGTGTTGCTGGTTGTAAGGGGCCTGGAACTATGACTGGAGTTGGGACCCTTACAGGGAAGTCCTGTTTCACCATGGTAATAATGTTACTATGCTGAAACCTGGGCCACCACTTGGCATAAAATTGCCGGGTTAGATTAAATCCAACAATTTTTCACTGTCATTTGAGTATCCAGGGGACTTTGTACCTGCATATAAATATTAGTAATAAGGAAAATGGGGACTCCTGTTTACTAGGATGGTAAAGGGAGTAGAAGATATTGATTTGATCTTTAAGATCAGCTGGAAAGATTTCATCAATGGGACCATGTTGATGTCACCACTGTTTAAACCATGTAGGAATATGACTTTTGAAATCTTTATGAAAATTTAAGAACCAGGAATGAGACAAATCCTCATTCTGGTAGAGTAATACTTTTGACCATGACTCAATGTAGTCATAGTAATTAATTATTAATAACAGTTATCATATTACTGTTATTGCCTTATTAGACACTGGAGCAGATGTAAACTGCATCCAAGAACGATTAATTCCAACCATGTTTTATGAAAAAACATTAGAAAGAATTAGTTCTACTAATGGCAGTAAAATGAATGTTAAATACAAACTTCCAAGAGTTCATGTATGTCAACAAGATGTATGTTTTGAAACATCATTCTTACTTGTTAAAGACATGACTGACTCTGTTATACTTGGTCTTCCATTTATATATCTTTTGTACCCTTTTAGTACAAATACAGATGAAATATCAACCAAGCATTTTGGGAGAAAAATTGTATTTACATTTATCACTAAACCAGAGAGAAAATATTTAAGGCAGCTAAAAGACATTTCTGTCTCACAGTCCCTTAATGTAATAAACAGAAAAATTAAACAAGTGGAATTTCTTAAACAAGAGATTAATCACCTCAGAACTAAAGAACACCTAACCAACCCAATCTTACAACAAAAGATTGATAGGTTTAGGGAAAAACTAGAATCAGAAGTTTGTTCCTCCCTTCCTACAGCATTCTGGCATAGGAAGAAACACATGGTTAGACTTCCTTATGTCAAAGGATTTAGGGAAGACAATATTCCTACTAAATCTAGACCAATCCAAATGAACCATGAAACTACTGAGATTTGTAAAAAAGAAATCACAGAGTTACTAAAAAATGGTATTATTAGGAATAGCAAATCACCTTGGTCTTGTCCTGCTTTCTATGTAGTCAAAAACGCAGAATTAGAAAGAGGAGTCCCAAGGTTAGTCATAAACTATAAACCTTTAAACAAGGTTTTAGAATGGATAAGGTACCATATACCTAACAAACAGGATTTGATAAAAAGACTCAATAAGTCTACTATCTTTTCCAAATTTGACCTTAAAAGTGGTTTTTGGCAAATACAAATCCACCCTATGGATAGGTATAAAACCGCTTTTACCACTCCTTTCGGACATTATGAATGGAATGTCATGCCTTTTGGGTTAAAAAATACCCCAAGTGAATTCCAGAACATAATGAATGAATGTCTATATAGATGATATACTTATCTTCTCCAAGACAATAGAAGAACATTGGAAGCACCTCTATGCTTTCAATACAATTATCCAACAAAATAGATTAGTATTATCTGCATCCAAGATTAAATTGTTCCAAACCTCAGTAAGGTTTTTAGGATACAATATCCAGGATTCTACTATCACTCCTATTAGTAGAGCCATCCAGTTTGCAGATAAATTTTCAGATGAAATCTTAGACAAAACCCAATTACAAAGGTTTTTAGGTTCCCTAAATTATGTTTCTGACTTTTATCAAGATCTTAGGAAAACCATCAAACCTCTGTATGACAGGCTCAAAGGAAATCCTTCTCCTTGGACCACTGTTCATACTTCTATTGTTCAACAGGTCAAGAAGTTCATAAAAACTCTTCCCCGTCTTGGTATTCCGTCCGTTGATTCTTTTAAAATCATCCAGACTGATGCCTTTGATATTGGTTATGGTGGAATCCTCCTTCAGAAAGAATCTCTTAATTCTCCTGAACAGATTATTCGATTTCATTCTGGTATTTGGAATAAAACTCAAAAGAATTATTTCACTATTAAAAAAGA